CATTTGTAAGCATTTGAACCGGGAAGATAGGCTAAACAGGTAATTTGACGCTAAGCATTATAGTCTATGGGATGAATGTCTTAGTGCTATTAAAACACAAAGAGAAAATATTTTACTATGGTTTCTTTTTTAAAAGATATATTTTTTATTATTTTTTATTTTGTGTGTATGAGTGTTTTGCCTATATTTGTAAATGTACCACATGCGTGCAATGTCCTGCCGAGGCCAGAAAAGGGTGTCCCCTGGACTGGAACTGGAGTTGCACATGGTTGTTAGCTGCCAAGTGGGTGCTGGGAATCGAACCCAGGTCCTCTGGAAGAACAGCAAGTGTTCTTAATGGCTGAGCCATCTCTCCAGCCCCTTTCCTGTTTTTTTTGACATGGGGTCTTGCTGTGTAGCTCAGGCTGGCCTTGAACTAGAGGTGCCCCTGCCTCAGCCTTTGGAATGCTAGGATTACAGAGATGTGCCCATCACATGCAGCTTTTTTTTTTTTAAATTATTTTTATTTTGTGTGTATGAGTATATTGCCTGCATGTATGTAAGTGTACCCGTGTCATGCAATGCCGGTGGAGGTCAGAAGAGAGCATTGGATTCCCCTGGAACGGGTGTTATGGATGGTTGTTAGCTGCTGTGTGGGTGCTAGGGACTCAAACCTGAGTCGTCTGCAAGAGCAGCCAGTGCTCTTAACTGCTGAGCCATCTCCCCAACTCACACACAGCTTTTTAAAAGAAATTGTGGCAAAATACACATAGGGTGAAATATCTTCTCCTGTCCTTTCTGTCTCTAAGCACACGTGCGTTGTGCAGCCACACTGCTGCACACAGCCATGGTACCATCCACCCACAGCATGATTATCCTCCCAAACTGACTCTCTACTGCATGTATACCGGCTCCCCAGCCCACCCAGCCCCTGACAGTCACTTTCTACTGTCTGCCTCTGTGCATCTGAGGACTCTAAGGAGTTTGCTTGAGTGGAGTCTGCAGGACGTGTCCTGTGACTGGCTCATTTCTCAGCATGACATCCGTCCCCCTGGTGACAGTTGCCAGACCTCCTTCCTGCTGAAGCCCGTGCTCTGTCATGTAGGTAGACACGGACTGTCCCACTGCTACTGTGGGTACCAAGCCCATGTCCATCACGACTTCTTAGGGTGTAACAGGGTTGGGGTACTGTGGCCCCGTCTCCACGCCTGTTTTCCTGATGGTCCTAGTTCAAGGGGAATTATATTTACTATGCAGTATTGTGGGAGGATGATGGCCACATCCCTGCAGTGCCTGTACATGCCCAGCCCTGTGGCTCAGCTGCTCCCCGACCTTATTTGAAAGTGGGAATGTTATGAAAACAGGGATGTTCATCTCTAGATAGGCTGACTAGACTCCCCTGGATGAACTTGCACCAGAGGACATCTGGGTACAAATGCTTGATTGAATAGGAGTTAATGTATGACAGAATGACTGAAATCTGGTGGGGGTTAAGGGGGGCCGTGGATTGGGGAGGGGGTCTAAATTTGATTAAGAACTATTATATGAAATGCATAAAAACAATTAAAATATATAGATTTTTTGGTCTTTTTGAGACAGGGTCTCCCTGTAGCCCCAGCTGGCCTGGAACTCGCTATGTAGACCAGGCTGGCCTTGATCTCACAGATCCACCTGCCTCTGCCTCCCGAGTGCTGGGACTAAAGGCATGTGCCACTACACCTGGTAATAAAAATATATATTTTTTTAAAAGATGTTTTATTTTTATTTTGTGTATATGAGTGTTATGCCTGCATGTAGGTAAGTTCATCCGTGTCCTGCAATGGCCACGGAGGACAGAAGAGGCTATCGGATCCCCTGGAACTGGAGTTATGGACAGTTGTTAGCTGCCATGTGGATGCTGGGATTTGAACCCGGGTCTTCTGCAAGAACAGTCAGTGTTCTTAACCACTGAGCCATCTCTCCAGCCCCAATAAAAATATTTTTTAAAAAGAAAATAGGGCAGTTTAAGAGGGGAGTGTGTAAGTATCTTCATTCAGCAACTTAAGGCATCAGCCCTTTGTCTTCCTCTCAATTTGAATGTTCACCTGCCTTTGACGGGGAGCTGCTGGCTTCAGACCTTGGTGTCTGCCCAGTATGGTGAGGTGCTGAGCAGTCCTGGATCCCAAGGTGGATGCCAGCTGGGTCAAAAAGTCCAAAGGGTGGAAGCCGCCCTTGGCTGTGAGGTGACAGGGCAATGGAAAGGCACATTCTCACCTGGCCCCTCTTCCAACAGGGCCGGCTCCCAGGCCTCAGGGTCAAGTATGTCTTGCTGGTCTGGCTGGGCATCTTCGCCGGCAGCTGGATGGTGTATGTGCACTATTCGTCCTACTCGGAGCTCTGTCGAGGCCACGTCTGCCAGGTGGTGATCGTAAGTCTGCCTGGGCCAAACTGGGGACCTTGTCCTTGTCCCCTCTTTTAGAGATTTGGCAGGAGGTGGGCTTGGAGGTGGGGGAGGAGAGGGCTGGGTGGTCAAGGGAAGAAGGAAGTCGGGGAGACTGCATGTAAGCACAGTGGCATGGGTCGAGGGGTGTTCTCAGGTGTTGGAGCGAGGATGGTTTGGCAGGGCACTGGAATGGCCAGGGAAGGGGCTCCTCCCCCAGCCCTGGAACGGGCTGCAGGGTGGGGTCTTCCATGCTCTCCTCTCCAGGGAGCCGGTGATGCTGTCCACGTGCATTCATGTGAGAGGGAGTGCATGCTTACGTGCCAGTGCCTGTGTGATCGTGCTAAGGAGCCACATGAATTTAGTGCCCTGGTTCTCAGTTCCCTGCGACTGGGGAGGGAGACATCACAGAGGTCCAGCCCAGCTCTCCCAGGGCAGGGGACATGGCCTCTTTTCCAGAGGAGGCTCCCCTCCACCATCTGCGGCCTCCTGGGAGCAGTGCCAGTGGTCATGCAGCCTCAGTGCTAGCCAGGCGCTCAGCATGCTGGGAGCTTCTCGGTGGACCTCCCACCCTGGCCCACTTTGTAGATGGGGAAACTGAGGCTTGGAAACCTGGGGGCAGCAGAGTCCTGAGGAGGAGCACACTTTTCCTTCATTTTCCTTTTAAACTTTTTTTTTTTTTTTTTTCCTTTTTGAGACAGGGTCTCCCTGTAGCCCCAGCTGTCCTGGAACTCACTATGTAGATCAGGCTGGCCTTGAACTCACAGAGATCCACCTGCCTCTGCCTCCCGAGTGCTGGGATTTAAGGCGTGCGCCACCATGCCTGGCCCTTTTAAACACTTTTTAATTGATTTATTTATATTTTATGTGTATGAGGGTTTTGCCTGCATGCCTGTCAAGTGCACCATGTACATGCAGTGCCCGCAGAGGTCAGAAGAGGGTGTCTGATCCCCTGGGATGGTCGTTAGCTGCCGTGTGGATGCTGGGAACCGAACCCAGGTCCTCTGCAAGAGCAGTCAGTGCACTTAACTGCTGAGCCATCTCTCCAGCTCATCTGCCTTTTTAAAAAAGTACATTTGTGAGCACATGCACGCGTGCTCATGTGCCACAGCATGTGTGTGGAGGTCAGAGGACAACTTGTAGGTGTCACTTTTCTCCTTCCACTGTTACTCGGAGTCCGGGATTGAGCTCTGGTCCTCAGGTTTGGTGGCAAACAGCTTTACCTGACGAACCATGTTGCCGGCTACCACGTCAGTTTCTGTGGAACCAACCTTTCCCATCTCCCCTGTTCTTCCTGCCATGTTGGAGCTCTGGCCCCAGAGCAGGCCCAGCAGGTCCTTCTCCATCTGCTGTGACGTTGAGGGCAGCAGGGCCTCCTATAGCTCCTGCACAGCCCCTGACCCTCCAAGAAGTCTGTGACTGGAGTTGATGCATGTGTCAGTGCAGAGCCTTGTGGGGAAGGGCCTGCCCACAGGGTGGTGGACCTGCAGGCGTGGCTTTTCTGTTTCCCCTTCTATCTGATGAAGAGCCTGTTTCAGGGACAGACCCCGCCTTTGTGGCTCACGTGGCTGAGTTGGTGCTTTGGGTTGGCTTAGCCCCATGGATGGTGGGGTGTTGGGTACCTCCCTTCCCCCTTTCCTCCAAGACTGGCTCCATGGCAACCAGTGATGTACATCTAGGAATTCATCCAAGTGAGAGCCAGTGGCCGCTCCTCACCCTGAGATGAGGGGCTGCTGAGCCCCGTTCAGGGCTATGCAGTGCTGATTTAATCACTGCTGAGAGGCTCTCCCTGGGCCTCTGGCTAATGAGGTGTCCTGGGGCACGCTTGACAAGAAGGGCAATTTTGGGCCCCAGGGTGCCATTTCCTTAGGGATGGTGACCTGACAGTGACCAGTGACTGGGGCACTCACCCACAGATACCCCCCTCCCGCAGCACCTCTAAGAGTGGTGGCTGTGGCCGTGAGTGCGGCTGGTCCCTGGGATGGACAGCAAGGCCAGGCTCCACCATGGGGCCACTCCTGCTGCAGCCCATAGGGCAGGCTGTGCCAGGAGAGTCCGCAGGGGATGGGGGATATGGACACCTGCTCAGAGGAGTGACCTAAACTGCCTTGAGAGCCCCCGTCATGCTGGGCTCCGGAGCTTCCCTGGCAGCCTCACCGGGAGAGAGGAAAGGTGGCCTGGGGATCCCACAGGGTGCTGCTCACCAGATATTTCACCAGGCAGTGCCTGATGCCTAGTTATCAGGGTGTGACCAGGGTCCTTGTCATGGGAACTTGTGGCTCTGACCTGACTGCAGTCCAGGCTGCCTGCCTGGTGGCAGCGCTGCTTCTAGAGTCTCCCTGGGGCTACAGCACGGAGCCTGCCTCTCAAGGGGCCTGCTGCGGGCTCTCTGGCACCTGGAATATTTGCCATTTGGGTGTGGAGTTCTAGTACCAGTGCCTGGCAGTAGGCTGGTAGTGTCCTTCCCTCAGGAGTCAAGACTGGAGGGGATAGAGGGGCTGCTGCTAGAGAAATGGCCATCTGCAGCAGCCCCTGCATGTGCCAGGTTGGAAATGCTGCCTCTGGGGGGAGGTGCCAAGGCTGCCTGGTCACTGGATTAGGTAGTTTAGGGGTCTGAGAACAGTACTGGGGCCTGAGGACCCCGGGCCACAGCAGGTCCTGGGGCAGATGGCAGGGGTGGTAGAGGTTTCAGGTCTCAGTGACCACCCTCGTGACCATGCTGGTGGCCACTTTGCCTTCCCTCCTGGGGGACCCTGGAGGAGTGGGTGTGGCCATCCAGCCCCACACCCCGACGTCTGTCTCTTCAGTGTGACCAGTACCGCAAGGGCATCATCTCCGGTTCTGTCTGCCAGGATCTGTGTGAGCGCCACAAGGTGGAGTGGAGGACCTGTCTGTCCTCGGCCCCAGGCCAGCAGGTGGATCGCTGGGTCTGTGGGGTGGGCCTGGGCTGCTGCTGGCAGGGGGCTGGATGTCCATACGTAACACCCCCATGGTCCTGTCAGGTGTACAGTGGGCTCTGGCAGGACAAAGAAGTGACCATCAAGTGTGGTATTGAGGAGGTCCTGAATTCCAAGGCTTGGCCGGACGCGGTCCCCAGGCGGGAGCTGGTACTTTTCGACAAGCCCACCCGAGGCACCTCCATCAAGGAGTTCCGGGAGATGACCCTCAGCTTTCTCAAGGTCAGTGTGCTCTCCTGTGCTCAGGCCTCCGCTGTAGCCCACAGATAGGGATGTGTGCAAAAACCTGGGCAGGCCTGAGGACCCTGAGGCAGACCTCTCACCCCACCTCCAGGCAGGAGGCAGGTGTAATGGTCTCTTTAGGGGTAAGGAGACAGTCTAGGGGAGCCTGAGGTAGTGAGGACCCTGTGCATCCAGTATGCAGGGGTAGGGCAGGGAGGAGATGGGAACGGGGCTCTAAGTCAGGCCAGTGGGCCCTTCTGTACCATTCCCCTGGGAGGGAGGCTAGGGAAGGCCTGGCTGAGCTCACCCTCCAGTTGCGCTCCACTCCAAGGGCTAGAGACCAGGACAGGGCCTTTGTCCTGTCGGTCAGCTGGTGACCAGAGGTCAGCTGTCACCAGGGCGATCCTCAGCTCCACCCGTGACTGCCTTCTTTTGGTGCCAAATGCCAGGCGAACCTGGGAGACCTGCCCTCCCTGCCGGCACTGGTCGGCCAGATCCTTCTCATGGCGGACTTCAACAAGGATAGCAGGGTGTCCCTGGCGGAGGCCAAGTCGGTGTGG